TTAGGATGAAGGAGGGTTCAGTGGCCGCCACAAGGAATATGAGGACGGCGCTGCCAGCAAAACCAACAAGTAGTCAGGTAGTTCTAACTGTTGCGAGAGTAGGAGATGGCGTGGGAATCGATGGACTCTCTCTTTCCGTACGTCAAATAATGCAAGTAGCGCTAGCGCTTGCTGGTGGCCCTGGTACATCGAAGCAGCATTTCGTGAATCCAACCTTATCGATTTTTTGGTATCTCGTTTTGTGGAAATGTTTAAACGGTTTAACCGAACCCATGTTTAAACACAAAATGCTGAAATATTTGTGCCCTGAACGTGCTCAGTGTTTGAACAGTTTTAATGCTCAGGCGGCTAAAACGGCTTACAAACATAACAATCCATCGCATGTTGCAATGTATTGTTAGAAGCCTCACCCAATTATCCTTGGTCCTCGTGGATTAAACCATTTAAACGGTTTAAACCGCTGGAAACGTTCAAACGGCACCCATGGTCCAAGTTACGTAGTACTATCCATCACATGTTGCAATGTATGGTTCGAGGCCTGACCCAATAATCGTTGGTCCGCGTGGATTAAACAGTTTGAACCGTGAAAACAATTGATGGTCCAAGTTTGAAGGCTCAAACATGCAGTACTCACCCCTCACCGCCTTCCAAGTTAGGTTCATTTGATGACCCTTAGCTCGACTTCATCTGGACACGGGGCTGTGCATGTAGCTTTGCTAATGAAAGCAGGGGGGTTTGGCGTTCCTAGCAGACGGTTCTGCTCATGAGAGGACGTCTATCTACCAGAAGCCATCTCGTAAGATTGGTGCACATCCATTTGTGTCTCTTGAATCTTGGGAGCATAACGCGTGGAATAGGTTCTGGGGCATGCCACACTAAAACTGATGCAGGGTGCGGAGTATGTAAGGGATATCTTGCTGACTTTTCATGCTTGTGCAGTAAGAAGATGAACGCAAAACTGAAAAGGACTTATGCCCCGAAAAATGGAGCCCTAGTTTAGTCATATGATAGTCATATGTTCTTAATTACCGGGTTTGGGATTAGAAAGTTTTAGCTGTCTTGAACGGAACAGCCCAAATCCTAAGCCCCTTCATCTACATTGCACCCCGCAGGCCCTTGACCTAACTGCGCCCTAAACCCTTACCCCTAAACGCTAAACCCTAAACCATGAATCCTAGACCGGGAGACTGCACCCTTCAGCAGCCCACGACCTAAAAAATGTATTGCATTGGTACTGGTCAAGTCCTGAGGGGCCATCCTAAAATAATGAAGGCACATCAGAAGACTACCCGATATGCACATTCTTACTGGCCACTACAAGACTGAACCTTATCGGTTTTTACTCCTTATCGTTTTACAGGTCACATGATATCCAAAGACACTCCTTACATAACGTAGCGAACCCAGGTTGCCAGCATGCTGGCCTGCAGCACCAGGGGATCCACCCTTGCCTCGAGACACAGATGGATGTGCTCCAATCTTACGACATGGCTTGTGATCGATAATCTTCATGAACTGTAGAAGTTGCAGGTGGCATGAACGAGCCTGCAAGCACCTAACCTGTGGTCTCTGAAGCCCGATAACAAAAGGCTCTCAGGATTTTCCACAGTACTCGTTAGCAAAGAGGGGGGCCCCATAAGAGAGGGTTCGGGGATCGGGTAGCAGCAGCGTTAGTTCATGCAACAGAGCAGCAGAGTAGAGCGGTATTTTTCATCCAGGACAACGGGGCTTAGGATGAAGGAGGGTTCA